GGACCGATACCCTTTTGAATTCCTTTTAATACCCATTTCTTTGATCATCGGATGATAACATTAATTTATGAATTTTTAAATATTCCCTTTCTTCTGGTTCCAAATTTTTGTTCGATTATCCGTTTTCTTTTCTTATTACTGGTTTCTTTGACGTTCTTCCGGTTTATCGAAAAGAATTGTCTTGTTAGTGGCTGGTGGCGTCATTCTGGTAGGTTTTTATAATATTTTATAATCCCGAGAAACATGAATTTGTAACAAGTATAATGATACTATGAGTAATAAAATAAATTTTAATATTTATTGAATTCGTATTTATTGATGCTTATGAAAATTATTACTGTTATTGTTGTTATTGTTATTATTATTATAACCATTATTATGTGGGGAAGCGGAATAATTGATAAATTGAATGGATCAGGCTAAATAAGCCTTTACCAACGAATAGTTTTTGGGTTTTATTTAATATGGGTTTATCAAGTCGAAAATTTGTTCTCAAGCCAAGGCTTGTTTTTCTTTGCGATAGCGTGTAACAAGCAATTTTCTCGTATGTACTCATTACGTTTTTAATGCGCGTTTTGTTCTTGCTATCAGGTAGGTCCGACGTATTACTGGCAGAGATAAATTTTTTTTCTTTAATTCAAATATATTCTTATAATATAATAGTTATAATCATTAAAATCCGGTTTGATTTGATTCGAACACAGTTTTTTCGTTCAAAGCTTTGCAAACAAATTTATAAAAATAATCTTAAATCAATGCGAAAACTTGTAATAAGTTATGTTTGCATTATTTAGAGATTCTTTGTTGATTAATATATTTATTAGGATTGTACAAGTCAAACTTTGACAATTTCCAATTAATTATTTTGGATGGAAAAATTTCTTACAACCAACTATTCAAGGATTCTTGCTCCTCGACATTCTCTACATTTATAATTACTCCTAGAGCACTTTCCACCACAACTTTTCATCCTAATGTTCAGATGGTGGTGTCACCAGATATTTGTTCTATATTGCTTATGTATTAATTAATTTATAATCATTCTAAATAGTTTTCCTTCTTTTTAGATTACACTAGTGGTAATTATAAATTGAATTCATTTTCTTTTTTCTCAAATTTAGAACTTTGCCAAAAGTATCAATACGAGCTGTAGTCCCATACAATAAAATTTTGTTCGTTAGCTAGCTACTGAATTAGTCAATAATATTTGAAAAAATAGAATAATCATTATGTTTACCACATAAAGTAAGCAAATAAAAAAATCGTCAAAGTGTAATTTATAGTTGTGACCCAATTTTTTTTATTTAAAATCTATAAAAAATGTTCAATTAATCTTTCAACAGATAACGTCAGACTGGACAGAGTTATCTAAAGTTCTCAAATTCATTCCATATGGTATCCACAAAGAACAATTTCTCAAGCCCTTTTGCCGTATTATATGGTATTTTATACCATACCATACCAGCGCTTAAATTCAACATTCTCCCCTTCCCACCACACCCTCCAAAAGAAGATTCAGCATTGACTTAATATGGCCATACCATACCATACAATACAATTTGCAAGTGTTACCGAGAAATTTTGAATTTGGAATATGTTTACAAATAAAAATCCTATTGATTAAATTAACAGCAAACAATTCACGAATTATTTTTTAATATTAATTATTCTATTTTTTTTTTTATGGTGACGGCAAGTATCAATAATCTTCTTTATATTTTTTAAAAGATTTGGATTAATTATTATATTAAAGAACTTTAGTCATTTAAAGATGTAACCTTGTTATAAAAAAAAAAGGTGCATAAACTTTCAAATTAAAAATCTACAAATTAATAATAGTAATAATGTGTACTATTTTATTGCCAATTGTTTTATTAAAAGTGTAACTTCAACCGAAGGAGCAACTGGCGGAAATGCACTGTTCTATGAAAAAAAGAAGCATCGTGTTGAATCGTTCTAATTAAGAGGCACGTTGTAGAATGCTGAAGTGACCTTTCTACCCTGACCAGTACAAGCAAAATTATTTCTCAAAGAGAAACATGTTATTTTGAAATCAAAGAGGGAGCATCTAGAAAACAATTCTCTCTTCAGAATGCATTTGCTCTAACTGTTCATAAAACCAAGGATTGATTATACCACATGTTACATCAAACGTTGATAAAAGTATGATTTGCTGAGGGACAAGTATATATCGACTACAAATTCTTGACTATTCTCAATTAAAAATCAACTTTTTGAAATATAGCTTTATTAAATTTAAATTTTGATGTGAAATAAAACTCCCAGCAACCTCTTATTAAAATCATTCATTATTTATTTATTATATTAGTTACCAGATATATTTGGTTAATCAAATATAGCACTAACTAGGTTGATAATATGTTAAAGTCCTGTTTAAAGTCGATAAAATCTTCAAATGTAGAAATATGTCAGCAAAAACGTTTACAACTAATCAATATATATATATATATATTAATATATAACTTGAATTTCATGTTATGGGTTTATCGAGTTGAAACTTGTCCTCAAATCAAAATTTGTTATCTTCTTTTTTATTCAAGAAAAAGTTATTTTGAAAGTACAAACCAAACTCTAAACCATTCCTTCCATAATTAATCATTTTATTTTAATTGGTTGGGAGTAATAAATAATTTTTCATTTTATTGTGCAACAAATAAACAAATAAAATTAAAAAAACAATTTTTGTTAGCAATGACTTTACCACTTGAGCTTTTAACTGAAATATTTAGATACAATGAAAGTGATTACACAACATTATATTCTTGCGTTTTTGTCAATAAACAATGGCACAATATTAATATTCCAATTTTATGGAGAAATCCATGCTATTCTCTTAACAGCACTAAAATAATAATCAATTGTTTATTGGAGGAAGAAGATAAGGATTTCTTAACTAGAAATGGTATTGAGTTAACTTTTGACCGATTGGAGAAACAACCATTATATAATTATGCTCGATTTTGCACTAAACTTTACTTTATCAATAGTTATGATTTTCGAATGCTGACAAAAGCTCCTGGTTTAAATATTTTACAAAATAGACTAGTAAAATTTATTTTAGATCATTCAGCAATTATTAAAGAACTTATTACTGTTAATATAAATTGTCATTGGGTAAATAATTATCATAGATTTAATAATAGTTTTCAGTATCTTAATAAATTAACTTGTTATAGTTCTGTTAGAAGTGAATTTATTGATAAATTAGCAAATATTTGCAAATCTATTCATTCATTACGAATATATCATAATACTTATAACAATAAACTTGAATATAGTCTGGTTCAGCTAATTAAAGCACAAAATCAAATAAAGAAATTAGCCATTGATTCATGCACTAGTCAAGCTTTATCAGATAATTTCAAAAAAGCAATACTCACACATTCACAATCAATAATCCATTATTCAAGCAGAGGAAAAAATAATATAGATCACATATTATTACCAGCACTTAAAAATCTAAAGACTTTATCATTAATATCAACTGCTGCTCTTTATGGTAATGATGATAGAATAAAATGTTTGAAAAACATTTTACTGCCAAATCTTGAATCTGTGAAGCTACAGATTCATCATTCATTTTTATCAGACTTGTCTGATTTTATTAATATCAATGGAGAAGCTCTTAAAAATCTGAATGTTGATGGCACACCAAATGATAGTGAATTTTTGAGAAAGTTATTTCAATCAATTGCACAATGTTGTAAAAATCTAGTAGATTTATCAATATTTTATAAGGATGAAATGGACCAGGAGTTAATGGAGGTATTCAACAATTGTATTAAATTAAAAAGTATTGAATTTAAAAAACTTGATTTTTTTTCTTTGGATAAAATAGATGGTGATAGGGTTTTAGCAACTTTAAATCAAGCATTACCAAAAAAATTAAAATCTATAATTTTTTTTCTTGAGGTTTCTAATATTAGTGACAAATCTTTTGATAATTTAATGAAGTATTGGAAAGGACCCAAACCATTTACAATAAAATTCAAGGGATTATCAGAAATTAGTGATCTTGACAAATTGATAAAAAAATATCAAGATTTAGGGTTTTTAAATTAAATCATATAAATTTTTTATACTTATTATTAATATATAGGTTGGAAATAAATAAATTATTTTTCATTTTATTGTACAACAAAAAAAATTTATTTTTTTCTTTACAAAAAAAAATGTTAACAATAATTTTCAACTGACTTGGGATATTGGATGTGGATATTTATAAACCTTTTTTGAATTTTTGTATTTAAAATCATACCATTGAATTAAAGCCAAGTTTCTATCTGAATAATTGAGTTCAAATAGCAGGAGAGCCTGAATATCGGATAGCATAAAGGTTAGTTCATGCAAAATGTAATAAATTTAAAGATAATTATCATACAACTTTCCCATAGCAATTTACATTGTCATTTGGATGTTCTTCTTCATCCATGCAGATCATAATGTATTTGTCAGAATAAAGTTTTGCAGTTTTAAATAGTTGGGCCTCTATATTTATTTACAATGTTTTGTCAGCTCTTGGATCCTTATCAAGAAATTATTTCTTTTGATTTAGAATTTTGATTCTTTATCTAATCATTTAGAGTCTCACGAGTTTCAGCTGTTTAACCATTAAGTGAGACATAATATTTAATGTGTGATGTACCTATGAATGTAATTTAGGTAATGAATGGCTTTTAATATGATTTCAATCAAATCTTGTCAATTTTGATCAATAAAATCAGCATCAATTTCATTTAATTGTTCACCTAAAAACTTATCTATTTCTGAAGAGTCCCCATAACTTAGACTATTATTATGGCTTTTAATATGTTTTTGAATAAGCTTGCCCTCCTATTCAAATCCTTTTATTCCAATATGAGGTCTATATAGGTTCTATATATCTGCACCTTCACACCAAATAATGCTCTCTGTACATGAAACAGTATGCAGTACTCACCCAACACTCCCATCAATACAAAAATTAGAAAATATGGAACATGCACAGAATCTCTATCAACCATTACAATATCTACATATATGTTTATAATCCAACAAATTCAAATTGTCTATGGTGGTTTTCTGATGAATTTCACAATCATGATCTAAATAAAAAATCAACTTTAAATAATAAAGTGGAAAGCAAGGATGATGAAAATTTAAAAGATAGGAGTAATGAATTAATTGAATATTGAAAAGGTTTTCTAAAAAAGCAACTACTTACATTAATTATTATATGTTATAATTTGACAATAAATTATAATTGACATGAACTACATGAAGCAGAAGGTGATATTGACTCATTAATTTGTCATGATGAAATTAATAATTCTAAGCTGTAATAGTTGATGTAGATTGTCTTCTAAAAAAACCACATCACAATTTTCATTCAAAATCTATAAAAAGTAAATTTAATTGGTACAAATTCGTTGACAAAAATTTTAATAAATTATTTACCATATTAAAGCAAGGCTGAAGTTGTAAAATGGATTCAACTGTGTCATATGCAGATACCCATCAAGTCTTGCAGTATTTTTTTAATGATCCACCACTTATTTGGAATTTTCCAATACTATCTTCAAGAATTTTAGTTGCATGATGTGATTTCTTAAAGAATTTAATAATTTTATTGCATATAGAAATTAAATTTTTGGAAAATCAATGTTTTAATATGTTTCCAGGTATCAAATTGAAACAATGTGCAATGCAGCACAGATTTAACATCAGGAAATTTTCCCTGCCATAAATATTACATTCATAAATTTTAATATGTAAAGTTGTAATATTTGCATAATATTACAGGACCCACTGTAAACTTATGTAAATAGTGTAATAATTATGTAAATCCGCATCAGAAAAAATTTCCTGATGTATATGGATGTTTGGATATGATTATTCTTCTTGCTTCTTTCACATTAGCAGCTCCATCTGTAACTATTTTCTTGTACCAATCTTAATTAAGAACCTCTTCAACTTGAAATGCAATAAATTTCCTGTATGACTTTCTGCTGAAAAATCTTTTAGGCAGTAAAGATACTGTTGCCTACTTGATGTATAAATTATAAAATTCCAGACAGATATATTTCTTGGATTTGAATAACCAGTGCTAATTACCAAATTAAAGATATTATAATATATATTGTCAAAATTTATGTATAAATAGAAAATTAAATTCTATAGATAAAATTACCTAGTGTTAAATTATTATCCCTTTCTAATATGTTATTTAACTTTTGATTTACCAAAGCCACTTCATTATCAAGTAATCTACCTGATAATACTTCACTTGATGGTGGATGGTGTGCAGGACATAACTGTTGCAAGAGCTCAACAAAATATGGATTCTATATTGAGGAAAAAGGAATACCAGCACATACAAAAAGCTTTTATCAAGGACCTATTAATGGAATGCTCCCTTTCTCTGGTAAGTGAAGTGCTTTCATAAAATCTAGAAAGTAAAGATTGTTCTGAAGAAAGTGAAATGTCATTTGATCTAGTATTTTTTTGGTTAATTAATTCAAGATACTATTTTCTTATTTCTAGATAACATCCAATACAATGATTTGCCAAATAAACCATAAGTCTTGTTGCTTCTCCACATTGAAATTTTGAGATAGTGCAGACATTTAGCAGAAAAATGACCTTTAGAATTTTCTAACAAGCTCTTTAATAAAATGTACCCAAACATCAGCCGCTGGTCTTCCTAATTGAGAGGACTATAATGTGACATTTTAATGAAGATGTAAATTTAAAAATAATATGGGCATGCTTGCAACAAAACCAGACAAAGTGAACATTGGATTGGCATTACCAAAATTTCAGGGGTCAATATTGTTTTTTAATAACACAATTGTATATATTACCAATGCAATGATATTTGTTTAGACAAAAATAGCTAATTTACATTAGGTCTACCATTTGAAGTAATTTAAAAAAAGAACAGGGTGAAAAAAATTCCACCTTATGTTTCCAAAATAAAATAATATTCAGACACTGGAAGCCTACCTAAAGAAAGAAAGGATGACTTATGAAATTTACCAAGAAGAAGAAAAATAATTAAAATTAAGAAGTAGAATGAAGATATGCTTTAAATTTTTATTTTTATTAAAATACAAAATATTAACCATCAATAATTAAAAAATATATAACAATTAATTGTAACAATTACGATCTAAATCAATAAATAATAAAAAAAAAATTAATTCTACAATCTTTTTTTTTTTTTAAAAATGTTGACAATTTCTGACGAAATTAAAAACCAACTCAACATTGCACTTGAAGAGTATAGAAAGGCTGATGAAGAGTTGAGGCAGTGGAGGGGGAGTGGGAAGAGAAGTTGAACAATCTGAAGATGGGAAGAGAGAAGGAGGAATATGGAGGCAAGAAGGAGGAGTTGAAAGAAAAGTTCAAGGAATTGGAGAAGGATAAGAAGGATCGGGGAGAGCAAGTGTGATACTTGCAAAAAAAATTCACTGAATTCAAAGAAAAAGGTAATGAACAAATTGCGTAAAAAAAATTATTTTTATTCATTCCATTTCATTTATTTAAAATAAAAGCTAATAACACAGTAAAGATAACGTAAATTGATTACTAACTCATGCATTTTTTATTACTTTCTGTCTGATATTATCAACAATTTTTAGGAATGAAGAAAAAAACCATTTTATCAGATCTTGTTAAATCATTCTGTGACTTGAATAATTTTAAATTGCCAAGTGACCCAAAAGTTTTAGAAACTATTCTTCTCCAACCATTTTGTGTAAAGATCCCTATTGAATCTGAAGTATATAAGCAATGGAAAAGGGAAATAATTGACATTGATATTGACAATTATTTTGTTAATGGTGATCTATCAGGTTCTACAGCAGCTGAATTTAGTGCAGAGTGTGTGCATGCTCTTTCTAGAAGAATTTCTAGAAGAATGGATAATATTGTTATCAATATTTGGGAAACTTTAAAGACATATCAATCTTTAGCTATTGACATTAACCGAAATGTTAAAGATCCATCAGGGATTACAATTGATTCTTTACAACCAGATGTACTTGTATGGGTTCAAGATGCATTGGTTTTCAAAGCAGAAGAAAAGAGGATGGTAATTTTAGTGTAGTAATGGAGGAATTAAGGGATAAAATGAAGGATTGGAATTTGGCATCATGTAGAAATCTTCCTTATCTTCTCTCATATGGTGCAGTAAAGGAAAATCTTCAGTTCTTTGCCATTACTAAAGATTCCAATTTGATGTCAATTTCACCTCGCTATAATATTTCTACATTTGCTGGTGGTTTTAAGGTAATTGTGTAATAGTGGATATTGATTTCAAGGATACAGAATATTGCTAATTTAATATTCATCAAATCCTTTAGGTTTTAATATCAACTCTAAACATGTTTAAATGTTTTCTTGCTGCAGCAACCCTACTTCCAGAAGTTCCATTTCCCTTCTTAAAAACTTTTGATAGACAAAGTGGTGCATCTATTACATTTGTCTCAAGTGATCATATCCAAAAAAAAATAAAGAATTTTGAAGATTATATTTACAGTGACATAGAAACTTTACAAGAAGTTTATAAAATAATTGAATCATGTGAATATACTGTAAAAGCATTTTCAATGCCAGAAGTGCTAGTGAAGAAATGTGGAAAAAAAATAATCAAAACATATGTTGTAGATATTGCACCTGTGTGCTTCAGACAGTGACCAAAAGATATTCAAGAATTAAAAACTGCAATATATCAAATACTTAAAGTCCTTGAGATTGTTCATGATTCAGGTTATGTACATCGAGATTTGCATTGGGAAAATATTTGGAAAGATAGCCATGGAAGGTTCATTGTTGGTGACTGGGAACATTCTGGAAGGTTGGACAATATTCCAAAATTTGTTATTCAATGGTGGGCACCAGAATTACATAATACACCCACACCACCATACACAGACAAAGCAGATATATATCTTGTTGGAAATTTGCTAAATACATTGGATGTATTATTATCAAATGAAGCAGTAGCATTCCATTCACTTTTGATGAAAAATAACCCAAATGAACGTCCCTCTGCTGTAAATGCTTTGCAGCATCAGTGGTTTAATAAGGTAAACTTTAAATGCTAAATTCTTTTCAAGCTTTCTCTTTGGATATTAATTTCTATGTAACATCATTAAATTTTTAGCAAAATAACTAAAAAGCAAATAATTTTTCATACTGCATGAATTAAAAGTATGTGGATTGTCAGAGAAAATACATGTAACTTGATGATCTTTTCTTTAATAAAAGTAAAAATGGGAATAAAAACCCCTTAAGCCACAATCTTTTAAATAATAAAAAAATCATTCAAATTGAGTCATTTGTTGTTAAGGGTAGCATAGTGGACATTCATTTTATCACTTGTGACAAAATTGATCATTGATCTTTTTTATATTGTGAAACTTGCTATTTCAATTGAATTTAGAATAGAAAAATTCACGTGACTGCACACAAAACCCATTTGGGAGCTTTTCTAGCAAAAAGGGGTTTCGACCTCATTTGACCAAAAAATTTTTTTTTACATAATATTGATCTATAA